AAAAATTCTATATAATCTGTATAGTTTCAAGAATCTTAATAAAGTACTAGCATGACTGCTAAAGTTAAAAAAAAAAAATAAATAAATACTTATTTATATTATATATTATATTTTAGAATTATATAAACTGTTCTATCTATATTATCTAATAGTATACAACTATATTATATAAGTAGTTTTAATTTAGAACATTCTTATAATTTACTAACTTCTTTATATCAGAAAACTAAAATAAATTTAAGTAGTTCTCTATCTACTTGGTCAAACTTAAATATTAGCAATATCTTAATTTATAATATTTATATTAGTATAAATCTTAGTACTTTCAAAGTTAGATAAAAAATATTAAATATGCTTCTAACTTTGAGTTATTTTGTTTATTATTATTATTAATTATTTTTATTAATAAATGCATAATTATAATAACACATAAATAAAATTAAACAATACTTACTAATCTATACTAATTTATTACTTTTTCTTATTATTGCTGCTAACAATAATATTTAAAAACATTAGCATTTTACAAAAACTTGATGTAGTATAAATTATATCTGTATTTTTTAATAATATAAGGTAAATATGCCTAATTTGGTGCAGCCAACATTTTTAATAAATATTATATGATATTTCAACCAGAACTAGATAATTTTAGTATTATTCAATTCATCTCATCAAGATGAATTTAATAGTACCAAAATCATTTAATTCTAATCACTAAATCATAAGATATCGCTTATTAAAGATTGTCCAAAAAAATATTTTTAATTTGATGTAGTGCCTAATTTGGCACAAGTATAATGTTTATAATAAATATTATATAATGTATCAATTAGAATCACAAAATTTTGGTGTTATTCAATTTGTCTTGATAAGACAAATCGAATAGTGCCAAAATCTTGTGATTCTGATCGATATATAAGATGATATTTGTTGTATACGTTTATTTGTATTAAATTAAATTACATTATTTTAGACTATTTTGGTTTAATAAAATATCTTGAGAATTAACAATCAAAATTACATGATTTTGGTACTGTTTAATACATCTTAATATGATGAATTAAATAGTATCAGAATCATGTGAATATAATTAATAATTCTTAAGATATCATTATGTACCAAATTAGACACTGCACCAAATTAAACATATCTATCTTATAAGAATATATATATATATATTTTAAGATGGTTTCTTTGGTCTTTTGATTTTTATTAATGACTTTTTTGGTAATATAATTTAGTAAACTACTATAAAAGAGCATACAATTTGCTATATATATAACTTTTTTATATTATCTATTTAAAAAGTTTATCTAAAGTTTTTTTACCAATTGCTATATCTAACATTTCTGCTTAGGTATTTTACTTTAAACCCTCTGAACCTGTAACCTGTATTAATATTGCTAGATTATACCCAGATGCCCAGATTATTATCTCAACCTTAGAATTATTTTATCCTCAAGATAAACTTTTTAAAGCCTTCTGTATCTATTTTTACAGCTAATCTAATATTACTATAGCAGAATTAACACTTGTAGTCAAAGTTATATTATTTAACTACTATATCTTTGTAGAGTTCATACAGATCCTAGCATCTATTTCATAGCATAATCTCAGTACTTTAGTATACCTTTGCCTTTTTACTTGCCTTTTTATCAGACTTCTAATTCAGATAGCCCATATAAAACTATAACTAGTCTATTTGTAAATTAGATTAATTCAATATCTTTTTTTTTTAATTCATTCTAAAATCTGATTAGTAGTACCTTTAAGACTTTTAACTCAAAGATTCTTGTCTGTCTGAATACTATATTCAGATACTATAACCTTTGGTATCTATTTTTTTAAGCTAGCCTTTACAGTAAAGTTATCAAAAATCTGGTTATCTCTTTACTTAGATCTTCTCAAATAGACTTCTTGTTATTTAATTTCAATAGATTTATATGATCACAAAAACTTATCTAATGTTTGTGCTGCTTGATTGTTAGTTTGCATTTCTTTATATAATGCTATACTTACACAGATGCTTTATAATCTGCCAGTTATGCTGGTGTAACTACTATTATAGATATTCTAATCTAATTATTAATAACAGTTATTATAATATAAATATTATATAAGTGATTATTTAAATTTTTGTCATTAATAAGATTTGAATATCCAATTTACTACTTGAAAAGTTGGCAACCTAACTACTTTATTAGGTCATTATATCTCTAAAAAAATATTTCTATATAATTATTTTTGTTAATAAACATAATTAATTCTTTTTTAAAAAATTTGTTAAGACTAGTTAAAAGGTTTTAAAGGCCTTTAACTTGTAATAGATTCAAATTATTTTTATTTTTTTTAAGAAAATCATTCAAATCTTTTAAATTTAGTGATCACAAAGTATTTTTGAACTTTTTAACAAAACAATACCTCTTGTAAGCTTCTTTTTTAGTTAACTATCTGATAATAATAATTATATATTAATGATTAATAATAATTATTTAGAATAATTATAATTACTGTCTTTAATATTTGTTTTATATAGTTTTTTTTTATTTAATATATGATAAAGTTTTTTTATATAATTCTTATTAAAGGATTCATAAGTTTTTATAGTTATATTATTTATTAATCTGTATTTTTAAATTATAGGTACTATATAATAGTACTAAACATAAAGTTTTGAAAGTTAAAGACTATTTAAATTGTATTTTAAAAATATTTTAACAAATTTTTATAAATATAATCATTAATAATCAAATTTAATAAAAAGTTAACTAAACTAACTATTTATTTGCTTTATATTTCAAGCTAATTGCAAAAATTATAAGTAAAAAATAATTTTTCATATATAGCAATATATATTTAAAAAAATTTGTAATAAACTTGGCATAGCTGTCTTTTACTAATTTTTGAGCTTTTATAATTCTTAAATAAATTATCTAATACAAAAATAATTATTTTTATTATATTTTACAATTTATTAGCTGTTATATATATAATATCTGATATATATATAATATCTGATATATTCTTAATTATTTTTAAATTAAAATATTATAAAATCAAGATTAATTATTGCTCAAAAATTTGAAAAACTTTATTTTTGCATTGTTCATATAAAAGCTCTTTAGTATAATCTATTATATACTTAAAAAAACCAATATTTAAGGTATGCATTTGATTATATATAACAGTCTTATATATATTAAATTTCTAAAAGTTTCATTATTAATAAAAATATTTTTTTTTAATTATATTACTAAACTGTTATTTTTTATCTTATCTTCCAAAATTTATTATTTTTAAAATAAATTGAATAAAAATGATTATCTGTCAGATAACTATGATTAGGCTGCTAAAATAAGTTTGATTATTTCACATATCAAAAATTTATTTGACTAATGAAATTTTTTTTGATATGCAAAAATTAAACTTTAAATAATGTGAAGTTTCTCTATTTTAAATTGTCATTAACTAGGGTTGATTTTAAATAAGTTTCTTCACTTGCAAATTGTTTTAACAGAGTATGTGATTTCAAAAAAATTTTTTGTTTATAGTTGTCTTGACTAGTTGTCATTTCAAAAGACTTCTTTGTTCACAAATTGTCTTGGCCAGATGTTATTTCAAACAGGTTTTTTTATTTACAAATTGTCTTGACTGGGTATATAATTTTAAACAGGCTTCTTTGCTTACAATTTGTATTAACCAGGTGTATGATATTAACAGGTTTCTTTGCTTACAAACTGTTTTGACCAGGTGTGTAATTTCAACCAAGTTCCTTTATTTACAAATTGTTTTGATCAGGTGTGGGATTCCAAATAGGTTCTTTTATTTACAAATTGTCTTGATTGGGTGTGTGATTACAAACAGGTTCTTTTGCTTACAAATTGTCTTGGCTGGATTTGTGACTTTAATAGGTTCCTTTGCTTACAAATTGTCTTGATTGAATGTGATTTCATTAGGTTACTTCACTACAAAATGTCTTGGGCTGATTAAATAATTAAATTAGATTCTTTTATTATATGAAAATTGTAAATTATATAAATATTATAAATAAATTTTTTATTGTAAAATTAATATAAATGAAGACAGTATATGAATAGCAAATAGCAACAATGCAATAATATTTTTTTATTATATAATATATTACATTAATATTATTTATTAATTCTAATGAATATTGATATGTTCTGCTGTAATATTATAATAATTTTTATGTAAGTAGTAGCATGAACATTATCTTCCTCATTACTATCATTAAAAGCTAATAATTCAGTATGTGACAACTTTTTTTTTGAAGCATTAGTATGTGCAAGACTTTGTGGTCCAACAAGTGAAGTTTTTTTTAAAGTATTAGCATGTACTGAAAGATTTATATTTGAATTAATGCAGAGTGGTTGACAAAATAGTTTTATGACCTTCACATTCTTAACTACTGATAATAAATTCACATCTGAAACATTATTTTAACAAAATTTAAATTAATAGTTTTTTATATAAATTAATAATATTTATATTTACCTTATTTAAAGTTGTTGGTTCATTATTATTAACCAAAGTTTTTTGTGAATTATTATCACTGACCCTTGGTTGTATAACTTTCTAAATAGATAATAAATCTGAATGAACCATGAATTTTTCAAGTTTTTCAATAATTTATTTATACCTGTAAATCATCATTTGATGTGTTAGCTTTATCAGAAATTTCTTGTAAATCTTCATAAACCACTGGTTTCTTAATAAATAAATAAATCTTATTATTAGTAAATTATAATTAATGTTTTATAATTAAAAAATGTAATAATATAGTATTATTAGAAGGAAGTACTTCAACACTATTAATTAATAGTGAGATAGCATTTTCTCTTTGTTGATTAAAAGGTTTTGCATAAATTCGATAAGATGATTCGCTCTTGTGCCTAGTGATAAACATCATTATATTAATTGAAACACCTTTTTGAAAAAGAAAAGTAATTGGAATGGACCATCCAGAATGGTTCACAATATTACACCCTTCAATATTAATTTCAACTATTGTACAAATTGTTTTCAATAATGATCAGCAGGTTTTATCACCCAAACATATATTAAGATATCATGGATCTTTGAAAAAATCTAAAAAAAATTAAGTATTTTTTATTTAATTTTTTGTTTTTTAAAATAAATATATAAATATTTATTTACCTTTAGCCTTCTTGTTAATTTGTAGATAAAAAAAAAAAACACTTTGAACATATTGGTCTTTTTAAGAAATAAAGTTTAAAATTATGCACAGAACTATAATATTCTTCTGGATCAGGTAGAACTGGTATTATAAGTGCATCAGAGTTTCTGTCAACTTTATCTTGATCATTTTTTGAGAATATTTAAAAAAATTGATACCACTGTTTGATGAAAAAACAAATTAAGAGATTGATAGCTTGTAATGTTCACCACCCTATGGTTGAAATAATAAACAGCACCATATAAAGACTTGATATAATAGACCTTTAGATGTATTACTTGTAATATCTTTATATTGAAATATAAGCTTTAATTCATTATCATTCAAATAATCATAGTGATGTAATACTATTTCATCTTTCTTAAGTTGTTTCATCTTTTCATTAAGTGCATCCTATAAGTGTCTAAATTCCTTTCTATTTGCAATATTAAATCTTTGATTTCTATGAGGGTGTTTTAATATATAGAGACTTAGTAAGTTGATACAATTAACTAGTGATGATAATGCATATTCTTTTTGAGTTCGAACTTAATGAATTTCAATAATAAATTCAGTCATTTTACACTCTAATTGCTCTTTATTTTCAATACTTTTAACTTTATAATTATATCCAACATCATTATGCCAATTCTCTAAGATCTTAACCTATTTGATAGTTGCCTTATGAGTATTTTCTAGAATTGTACCTCTAATAATTGCTTCAATTTTAGCATTACTTGGTTTAGAGTATTTTTGTTTAAATGCAGCTTTTGAATTCACTTTTGCTTTTGCTTTTGGCAATTTTTTTTTTTGTAAGAAAAAAAGAAATTGATCGAATTTACAAACAATTCACTTTTATTTATAAATTTAAGCTTTCTTATTACAAATCAACATAGTTTAATTTAAGTAATATAAGCCTAATCATTGTCATCTAATGAATAATATCATTATTTAGGTAAAATGATTACCTGTGATCCTGCAGATCATAAGATAATTATATTACCTGCTAAATAACTCCAGTTATTGGCTGCTTCACATCTAATAACTATATATTATTATTACTATGAATCATTTGATTTATTAAATCTAAAGTTCTATATAAGATATAGATTAAACCAAGATTATTTAAATTATCCTTTGATATAATGCATTTTTTACATAGCTTTTCTGTAAATAATAGTGATAAATATTTGCAGATTTATTAGAATTAGTTATGTTAGCAATAACAACTGCTATACATAGAATAAAGATAGTTATATTTTCATATATAACTTAATAAAACTTCAGTTTTTTAACTAAGAACTTAAGTAGAATTATTATATATTTTTGAAAAACTTTTTTTTAAAATTTTTGAAAATTTTTAAATTTTTTTATTTTAGAATTTTTGGTTTTAAGATTAGAAAGTATTTAATTAATGTTTTAGATTCTGAGTTATTTCTTTTTAAGTTAGAAATGTTTTTAAATAATAAAAATATAAGGTTTCCTCTAACCTATCCTAGCTAGAAAATAATTTGAAACAATTATCTATAGCACTTATTAGGAAATAGGAGGTATAATGTCACATTGGGTATCTATTTTTTTAGCAACACAAATGTAGTTTAGAAATCTTTATTTTAGGAATTTTTTTCTGTAATTAAATTTCTTATTGTATTTTAAAGTTTCTATTATAATATTATATAAATAAAAAAATAATAATAATAATAAAAATATAGAATGCTTAGAAGATTTCTCTATATTGTTAAAAGTTGTTGCATTTGAATATAGGATAATTAATAATAAATGTTGCCTAAAAAGTAATAATAATTTTTTTATTTATACTAGTCACAATTGTACTGTTCTTCAAAAATATATTGTTCTATATTGTTTATTGTTTCTTTTTTTTCTTGATATTAAAAAACAATTAACTAATTAATACTATTAATTATTAATAAAAACTTTACAGTTCTAATTAATAATCAATAAGTAAATGTATATTTAAAATTTTAAAATATTTAAATAAAAACTTTTTTAAACATTATATAAGAAATAGTAGAATTATTAAGAAATTTTTTCTGGCATTAGTTTATAGTAAAAGTAGTGTAGTATCCAAATTAGAAAACTTGCTAAAGGAGTTTATTATAGTATTACTAACTGAATTTGATATGTTATATTTAGTGTTACAAATTATTAAATTTTTTTAATTGATTAGTTAATTAATTTTTTACAGTTAGTTTTAACTAATTGATTCTTTACAACTAATTAATTATTTTTTAATCAATTAGTTGTAATTAATTAATATCTAATGAATCAATTAGTTGGCATCTAATAAGTTATTTATTAACTATTTTTATAAATTTACAATAGGCCATTTTATAGTTTAAAAATAATACAAATTATAAAAAGCATTATTATATAAAGCATCTTTATAGTTTTTAGTATTAATTTCATCAAATTCAACATATAAGTGTTATAATTTATAAAAAGTATTACCAAATAAAGCATCTTTATAGTCTTTAATATTATTTTTATTAGACATATTTTTTCCATTAAATGAGGCATATAAACTGTCAGAGAGTTCTAATTCCATCAAATTAAGTTTATTTAAACTTAATTTTAATTGAGATAACATTGATATGTTTTTATTCTAAAGGTAAAATAATTATTTAACAATTATAACATAATACCAAATATGACACAGCTGTAATATTTTAAAATTTAGTAAAAAATATTAAATAATTTTATTATTATTTATTAATATTAATTAAATAATAATAAAAGTATTTGAATTTCTTACTAAATCTCAAAATACTACAAGTGCATCATAATACTCATCTTGACTTTATATAGTATTCAAATATTATAATTTTGATTTGATAAGATAAAGCAAATAATATACTAATAATTTAATTTAGATAAAAAAATTCAACTAATTTATCTCATAATCTGTCAAAGAATTATAATTAAAGCTATTATATTTTAAAAGATTTCAAATATTATTATTAAACTGCTTATTTACAATTTGATTTGTAGCATTTTGAGTATAAAAATGCCTTTGTGAAATATGTTATGTTAAGGCATAAGCTTTTGAAAATTCCTAATACAATGTTCATATTTCTAATACATTTTAAAAAAAAATAAGATAGATAAAAAGAAAAAAAATATATAAAAAAAATTAAAATAAGATAAAAAGCATTAAAGATAATAATAAAAAAGAAAAAAAAATAGTTATTAAGCAATATTGATTGTAAAAACTAGAAAACAAAATAGTTAAAAAAGGTTTAAAATATAAAACAAATAAAGATTTTAAGTAGTTGATTTAAAGCAATTTTTATTGATTAATATTGAATATTAAAAATTTTAAGTAATTTCTTTATTTTATTAAAAACAATAAAGTTGTTACAATACTGAGTTAGCTATAAAAATAAGTACAAAAGACTTTGAAAAGTTTATCTTATAAATAAAATAATCCTAAAGTTAAAATAATAATTCAGGCATCTAAGTATAACTCAATAATGTTAACACAGGTTGCAGGTTTAAAGGTTTTAAAATAAAACATTCAAACAAAAATGTTAGATATAGCAATTGGTAAAAAACCTTTAGGCAGACTTCTTAAATAAGTAATATAAAAAAGTTATATATATAACCAATTGTACACTCTTCTGTAGTAGTTTATTGAATCACATTATCAAAAAAGTCATTAATAAAAGTTTTTTTTTTTTTGGTATTAAGATGATCTTTTTGGTTATAGCTTTTTATTAATACTTATATTAGGTATATATTTTATATAGATGTATTTATAATGAACTATCAGATGAGTATACAACTAGCTATATATGTAACTTTTCTATATTACTTATTTAAGAAGTCTGTCTGAAGGTTCTCTACCAGTTGTCATATTTAACACTTCTGCTTAGATATTCTATTTAAACCCTCTAATCTGATCCTGATATTAATTTTACCAGATTACAGACTTAGATCTATTTACTTTTAATTATAAGACTATAATTCTTAAACTATTTTTATCTTTAAGATAAATCTACCAGAGTGAGCCATATTCTTTTTTACTGCTAACCTGATTTAACACTATGGCTGAGACCAATACTTGTAATTAGAGTTACCCTTTAAACTGCTATTATCTTTGTAAAGTTTACCTAAACCCTGGTACTCATCTTTCTGACTTTTTCTTCATCATCTCCTACTAGCTACAACTCAGAACTAACTGACTTCTCAAACTTCCAATTCAGATAGCCTGGTATGATATATTTATATATTTTTTTTCTTTAGTGATTTCAGTAGCCTGGTTGGTTATATGCTCCTCTATATATCTTGTCATTTGGTTTATCTAACAGTTCCTATAAAAATGTTTTATGGACTTTTATTAGTCCAATTGTATTATTAAAAGTTTGTGCTATCTCTTTACTCAGAATTTTCAAGTAGTTTCTGTTTTCTTAGTTTTTTAGTCTGCTATGCCTAGTGGTTTTATTACAGGTTTGCACTAAAGCCTTATACAACACTGGTTTTTTTCATATTCCTTTATGTATGTATAATGTTATATATTACATAAATGCTTTGAGCTTCTAATGTCAGGTGAGGCTTAACTTGGTATACCTAAAATTACAAATGCCCAAAACTCAACTGATCAGCAAGAGACAGTTATTATAACACAGATATAATTTTCAAATTAATAAAAGTTAAAAGACTAAAGAAGTTACTTTAATATCAAAAAAAAAATAAAGTTATTACAACTAGTATTGTTTTTATATTATAACAAATTTCATATAATTTATATATATTATAATAAATACTATCATTATACAAATATATAATAAATCTCATTATTAATATTTAAAAAAAAAATATATATAATAAATCTTAACAAATTGGCATAACAATTAGAAATAGCAATTACTTATTCTATAAAAAATTATTATATTATATGACAATTTAGTATATTAATAGTCATAAGTATATATATATATATATTTTTTAACTATACCCAATGCTTTACATCGTGGGATGCATGTGGCACTCAAATTTCTTTATTAACTTTAATGTTTAGTACCTGCAAGTTTACATATTTAGTTGCTATGTACATTACTAGTAGTATTCCCTAGCCCCACCATACTACATTATTAACAAGCTTATTACTATTGTGATAACCTGGGTCCCTGGCTCTGTAGTGTAGGACCTCTTACTTGAGTTTGCAGTTCCCTATCAACAATGGCTTTTACAGATTCTGTCTCCTTATCTATTGACTTTTTACAGTAATTTTTTCTAATTTGGACACCTTATATTATTAACATTTCTTATCAAATTATCTCCTTATCTGGGTGTCATGTAACCTTGTAGCTATATTACTTGACTTATTCTTGCTATAGTACTTTGTCCAAAATTGGAAGTAGGAAATCTCTGTAGAT